TACAACAATTTCTTCAAAAATAATCAACAAAAATTCGAAAACGTGCTTTTTTTCTCTCTCAACTCTCTTCACGGTCACATGTGAGGGTAAAAATGGGAAAATGTTGGACTTTTAAGTTTTTTTTTTTAGTTTTCCTTTTTTTTTTCTTTTTTACTTGGTCAACGGCTATTGTGGAAAAGTGACCGGGTCAACCAGGTATTTTCCACCATTTCCTCCTTGAAGCACCGTGATGTGTTTACAAGGAAAACATTCATAGTTGCCGAGAAATGTTTGTGAAGTATTGGCATTGGGGCATATTACTGTGAGAGATGTGGCATTAATCTTGGAAAATGGTACGAGATTGGCCGAGTTCTTCAGAAGGACAACACCGTTTTTGGCAGCTTCGAGTGCTAGGTCCTGATGCTTTTGGCTGCAGACATGATCTGGACTTTTTCCAAATTCCTGTTTCTTTGGACCTCCATTGAAAAGTCCTAATCTTATTCTCATCGAAAAAAGGTTGTTAAGTGCTTTGTCTATGTCTGATTCTAGCACTTTCTTCTTTTGAACAGCCGATTTTGTGTATTTCATCAAGTAGGAACCACAGTTCACATCCATACCTGTAAAGTTTATTTGTACAGAAAAATTCCATTCAACCCAATCAAGCTTGAATCCAAGTAAATTCTATTAGAAAAGATCGCATAATCGTTTTTCCATACGTTTTGACACGTAAGAATACTTCATAGTCAACGAAACATAACTCATACACAATTAACTAATCATAAAAGGATTATAGTAATTAACACAATTTTATTGAATATCATGAGGAAAAGATAAAGACAGTATGGAACCAAATAAACGCATGCGCAAAGAGTGCTTTCCTTTCTAAAAAAGTGTAAAATGGACCAAGTTCAGCAGTATTTTCATCTACCCTTGTTCAAGTGGGTAGGTGGGTCTAATGGTCCTGTGTCACATATGCCTTCATGAAATATTTGGTACATAGTACTGGACATGATTAAACTAAACAAAACAAAAAAAAGGACTTCAGCTTCTTTTACTTCTTCAATATCATCACTATTATAAACCACCTCACAGAACAAGACTTTGCAATGGGAAATGGTAACCTATATTCCATGTTCTATACCCGAAAGAGCACTTGGGTCGTCGTTCAAACTTTTTTGGTACAGTAACTTTCAGATTTTATAGCATTAGAATCCCGACTAATGGGTTCCGTCCAAGCAATTCATTAATGGGTTGCGCCCAAGAAAATGAATTCCTCATTTCAAAGGTAAACAAATAGGGCTACTTACCAGCTTTGAGGACATCTGCAACTCCATCCTCTGGCAATTTAGCATACCCTTTATTGTCATGAATAATGGCAACTGCATCACAGTCTGAGCCATTGGTTTCCTGCCTATTGATCCAAGAGAGAGAAGAGCTGTGGAAATGA